CTTACCCAGAGGCCTTCACTGGCACACTCTGCCTCACTCACACGGCCTCATTCTCTTCCTGGTTATAGACAAGAGGGCTCTCTGTCCTGTGTCTGAAGGGGGACCCCCACCCAGATCCTTCTCCAAAACCCATTCTCCAAACTGTCTTTTGGGAAGGGCGGTCACTCATGGCTTTTTTGAATTGTCTCTATATAAATTTGCATACCAAAACCTCTGGGAGACTATATTTACTTTTTAATCCAGCATTCCCCAAATAATTTTACCACTGCATCTTTTTCTCAACATCTACTAAGAATCTGCACTTTTCGGCACTTTCTAAGCAAGAACCATATCCCACATTTGTGAGGCTACAGAAGACTTGAAGAGAATCTATATGGGAGATGATGGGCACCAAAGACAGTCTTAAAGCCTTGGACAAGGAAGTGCTTTATCAGCTAACATCATACAGCTGATCACAACTTTCCAAGTCCTGTTTGGCTAACCTTGAACTCCCTTAATAACATAAAATAGGCTGTATTTCACCACATTACTGACAGGACTCTCATTAAGGAATTTGCAAAAGGCTTTGCTGAAATCTAAATTAGTTTGTTTAAGGTATTTTCCTCCACCAACCTAATGCACCTCTCAACAAAGGAAACGATACACATTGGCAATAGTCAAACACAAAAGAATACAAGACATCTAGCATCTGCATGGCTTCCATGCAAATATTTTTTAAGATCAGATTTTTTTTAAATAGCATTATAATTTATATAATAGACTTCAATTTATATTGAGTCTCCCTAGCACTTTAATTAGTCTTTTCTGTAAACAAATGGATCCGGTTAGGAATTTATTTCCTATATCATCCAGGAAACTGAGGTTGTCTTTTTTGGAATTGGCACAATGACCATGGCTTTAGCAGAATTTCAGTCAACCTGTACTTAATAGTGAATACTGAAAATACTAGTCGATGAATCTGATCCTCATAGATCTTAATATCTAGAGGATAAAGAAAAAGTTTTTGTTACTAAAGTATAAAATGAAGCACATAGAGGTATACAAATCTGACATAAAAATCAGACTTGCCTGCCTTTCAATGGACACCATAACAAAGATTCTCTTAGGACAAATGCAAAAAAAACATTATGAACCTTTAATTTTCACACAAATGGGCCTCACCCCGAAACACAAAAAAATTCACGTAAGGTAAAGGAAAAGCACTGATGTAGGTGCCACTTTAAGCCATACATATGCTCTCAAACACAAAAGAAATGCTGTTTTCGCAAAGGAAAACCTTAAAGTTCTATGTTTTACAGTCTGTGTTAAATTGCCCTTTTCCATAAGGAAGTACTTTTTTTCAGGAATATTAACAAAGATCCTTGCGAATTTGTATTTTACCTGGAAACACTTTCACTTTTAGTATCCCCCAAAACCCAATCTCATCATGTTAGAAAAGTCATCATTTTTTATATTTATTTCGCTATACTATGGTATTTTAAAGACGAACGCTTAAGAATCTCACAATCATCTCTAGGCTGCACAGTTGCAAAAGTTCACTATAGGTAACTATTTTTTGTCATTCTCCACTATAGAACTATTATGTTCCTCTCTTTTATGGATGAGGCAAATGATAGAAATCTGCCCAAGGTCACCTAAGAGAGCGGGAGAACCAGTTTGAACTGAGCACACCTGATTTCTATTCACTCACCTAATTTACCGAGCCACCTGATCTTTCCAAAAAACGCCAAAGCAAACTATGCCTCCCTTAAAGGAAAAAGCTCCACTTTAAATTATTTTTTAAAACTTCTCTGAAGCTTTTCCATGATAGCTGCCACAATGTCAAACATAAAATTAAAACTTCACAGCAGGACTTCACAGATGGAGAATGCTGTTATAATTACTATGTAAATATCATCAATAACAGCACCTAGAGAAATGGCAATACAAAATGTTAAGAAGCAATTTGGTGCCTTTAAAATTCGGCGGTTTCAAAAGCTCGTCTGCTATCAAAAGTTTTCCTAACTCCTGTGTCATAATAAATAATTAAAACTGATGGTGCTATAAACCATTATCATTTAAACCTGGTCTTTTTAAATTGAGTAGGCAAAGCCACGCACCTAAAATTCAGTAGCAGGGTAAGGATGCCACCAAAAGCAGCTTCGTCCCTTTTCCCTTGCCCTTAAAATTCCAACTGATACCATAGAAAGCGAAGCCTCCCTCAAGAGTTTCGCGAATGCTAGGGAACGGGAAATGCATGAATTTCCAGAGCCCCTTTTATATAGGATCTATATCTCCTTCAGCTGCCCTTACCCGCTACACACCTCCAGCTGAGATTTGGGAGCTTCCGCAATTGATAAAGGAAAGAAATATTATTCAAACGTCCTTTAAAAAATGTATAGGGAAAACGATTCGAAATTCATCTCTGGGGAAAGCGAAGGGTGGTAGACCTCCCACTGCCAAAGGCAGTTAAAAGCTGCTAGTTAGAGGGCATTTATCCAAAGTGGCCAAACTTTCCCAAAATAGTCCTCTGGCGGCCAAAGGGGGAGAAAAGTGGAAAACCAAAACAAAACAACAAGCACACAGCACCATACTGACTGTGCCTCCGGATTACGCAGCCACTTCTCCCTGCAAAGTGCACGCTCCCGCGCCGCAGCCGCAAGCCGAGCAGGGCAAGCGGTGCCCCGCCACGCACCCCTACACACCTGCCTCGGCCGGGGTCCGTCTCTCGCCGTCCACCTGTTGCAGCGCTTGCCACCGCCAAGAAACCCCTGCTGCGGAGCCCCCCTAAATCCAACCACATCCAGGCCAGAGAGTGCCGCTCTCCCTGCGGCGGGAGAGCCCGAGGCAGCAACGCTCTTGCACCCAGGTGACTGACTGCACGGGCTTCCTCCGAGCAGCCTGAAGTTGGCTCCCGTCTACCGGGCCCAATGACACCCCGGGCGCGGAGGGGCTGAGAGGAGGGGGCAGGGGCAGGACCAGGGCGGGCAAAACTGGGAGGGAGAGAGGGCGGGCGAAAGCCCGGGGGGGAGTGGGCCAGCTGGAGGGCTGGCCCTTTTAAAAGCGGGTCACATGTCCAGATAAAGTTCAGGTTGCTATCCCGCCCCCCGTGCCCTTCCTATTGGCCTAAAGAGAAGCAAGGCTCCACACTGCACGGGTCAGGCGGGCTTCTTATTGGACAATCCAGGCTGTCAGTCACCAGGCGGGCGACATGACTGATACAAAGTTGCTGCGACACAGCCTGGACTCGGCAGCTTCCTTAAAGCCGCAGAAGCGGCGGGAGCTTGGGGTGCCGGGCGGTGGCTACACCAGGCGGCCTCCGCACGCTGCCCCCACTCCCATTGCTCGACCGCTCCAAACTTGCTCACATCCACCCTGCTCTCCTCCTGGCCGACCCCAGGGTATCTGGGGAGATGTGAAAAGTGTGGTGACGCGGAAGAAGTCGGTTTCTCCGCGAGCAAAGTGTCGTCCCCTCACGCTCTCCACCTGCAGCGCCAGGTGAGCGGCAGCCCTGGAGCCGCCCAACAGCGTCCGCGCGCGGGGAGGACTCTGGGTGGACTTCACCCGACCCCCGAGGTTCCTCTCCCAGCCCCTTTCCTGTGTCTCACTAGTTACCTCTCGGCAGAGCAGCCGCAGACTTCGCTGCCAGCGAGCAAGAGGATCACGTTCTCACTGGATTTGAATTTGCTTGTTTTAGCCCTTTAAACGCGGCGTTCCTCCCATCCCTTAGCCCCCTACCACAAAAAAAAAAAAAAAAAAAAAAAAAAAGAAAAGAAAAGAAAAATGAAAACAGTGACATGGTCAAGAGCTGCTCCTCTGCTTCCTTATAATTTCGTCACTGTACTTACTACTTTAGTATTGGATTTTTCCACTAGTTCGATTTGAAAGCAAGCTTACCATCGAGGATATTCACATTGTAATGGGTGGAGGGGATGGGTCACAAAAGTGGAAAAAACAGACAAGAGGGGGAAGGAACCAAACTGTTTTCTAAGGATCGCGGGTGTCTGCACGAAGAAATTTCGGTTTCCCTCCAACCGCCCCCTCCTCGGTTCTCCTCCCGCCCACCCAAATGCTGCAGTTACTAAGCAAAAGAATGGGCTTAACTTTGATTTCTAAGGACTTTTAAGCTCCGCGTATAAGGCCCGGTTCTAGGCTCCCGGCTGGCCCGGAGTCAGCATCAGTGACGTATACACCTAAATCTGGTCCCTGGCCCTCGGCGACCCGCAGCCGGGCGGTGGCAACTGTGCGGCCTCCCGCCTCACCCTCGCTCCGCGCTCGCCAAAGCCCGAGGCGGGGGACAGGGGGACACCCTATGCCCAGAGGCCCCTCCTCTCCTTACAGTTAGTTAAGCTTCGAGATTCCCGACCCCTAACCCAGGGAGACTTGAACTCTCAGCCGCTCCAGTCAGGAACTCCCTGGAGATAAGGGAGACAGCGGCAGCGCCGAGCTGGTCCGGACCCCCGACTCCAATGCCTCTCGGTCCCCAGCGCGGAGCTGCCCCTGGCGCCCCCACAGCCTGGAGTCCCCGCCGAGCGTCCCAACTTTCCCGAGGGGCCCGCCGTCACGCGCTCTCTCCCTGCACGGCTAGCCGGGCATCGATCGCACCTTGGCCGAGCGCGGGCGGCGGGCGGGGCAAGGGGGGTCCCAGACCTACCGCCTGGGCACGCGAGGCGGCGGCGGCTCAACAAGCGTTGCCGAATTATTCATTCTTAAAGGAACGGACGTGTCTCTTTTACTAAGTTTTTACCTCCTTTGAGGAGGGCCGGTCTTGCCCTGGATCTCAGCTTCTTGCAAAATCTAGGTTAGAACCGTGCAGGGGCAGCCGCCGCGATCGCTCGCCCGCCACCCAGCACCCTTGCCCCAGGGCCGCCGGCGGGCAACTCGTCTCTTGTCCGCATCCCACCTCGGCTCGCCAACCCGCGCCCTCTGCCCTCGGCGCGCAACCTGCCTTGCCCGGGGCCGCCCCTGCGCTCTCCTGGCCCCCTCTCGCCGCTGTCAGCGCAAAGTGACTGTCGCTGCACTCACCTTTTCTAGGACATGGTGGGGAGGCTGGGGCGGGGGAAGGGGGACGGCGAGACTCCCGCCGCCGCTGCTGCCGCCGCCACCAGCAAATCCAATATTGGCTGACGGGCGGTGAGGATGCAGAGGATGATAATCCCGGGAGTCGCCCTGCTGACGGTGCGTAGAGCAGTAGAGCAATAGTGCTGTTACCCTACAACAGGCGGCGAGGCAGCAGCGCCAAATCGCGCAGAGGGGGACGCGGGCATCCGCCCGCCCCCAGCGGCGGCGGCCAGGTCTCAGGCGGGTCCCTCTCCCGGGGCTGCGCGTCCGCCTGGCTTTGACGGCGGCGTCCCTGGGAGCCGGGAAGTCCGGCGGGAGGATCCCGCGCCTGCCGCTCCGCAGCGCCGCTCTCCGCGCCCCCTCTCTGGGCCCGGGGTGGCGGGTGACAGCTCGGGCGGCCGAGCGCGTGTAGGAGGGGGCAGTGGCAGGAGGAGCCTGCGCCCCACTCCCCGAGTCACACCCTCACGAGCTAGAGGCGGCGGTACCGCGTCCGGCCACCCGCCGATGGGAAACTGGCAGGGGCGCCGGCGGGAAACGGGCAGGGGCGCCGGCGGCCGCCCTCCCACCCCGGCCACTGACAGCCCAGGAGCGGAAGGAAAACTGAGCCCCAAATGCACGCACCCGCTTCAGGCCTCCCCGTAGCCCAGCAAAGTCCGGCCCAGACCTCCCGCCCGGCCTCAGGTGCAGTTTCCACCTGCGGGGGGAGGCGTGGGCTGGGGACCACGCGTGGGGGGCGGGAGGGAAAAGTTTCTTTTCCTGCTCCCCGGCTGCCCACCCCGCTAGGCTGCTCCTCTCCCCGCCCCTCTCCTGCTAGCCGAGCCACTGCCCCACCCCCGCCGTGGGGGGGGCGCCGAGGAGGGAGCGGGCGTCTGAGCGCGGAGGCGTCCAGGGAGAGGGCTAGGGAGCAGCGGTCGCCACGGGTCCCCTTGCTCTGACGGCGGCTCAGACGCCCGCGGAGGCGGCTCCGCGGGGCGAGCCGCGGAAGGGGGCGAGTGCCGGGACCCCTCCCCCTCCCCTCCCGGCGCGGCGCGCGCCCCCGCGTCGCGTGGCGCGCCCCCGCGCCCTCGCGCCCGCCCGGGCAGACACCTACGCAGACGCGAAAGTGAAAGGGGGGTGACCCGGCCCGGCGGGCGGCCGGCGGCGCGCGGGCACGCGGCAGGGGGCGGAGGACGAAAGGGTGAACCCGGTTCCTGGGATTCTCCCGCGCCCGCTGCTCCTCTGCGGAGCCTCCCCGGAGTCCCACGCCCCCACCCCGGCCACGCAGATCAGCACGTCAGGAGATATGTATGCGAGTGCGTGTGTGCGCGCGTGTTCACGCGCACTCTCGGGTGTGCGAGGTACGTTCTGCCCCAGACTCTTCCCCCGCACCGTTACACTCACCCTTAGGTGGAAGATGGGGGCCAGGGAGGGGAGAGAAGTGTGAGGGTCCCCACCAGTTACGGGCTCCCCACCAGTTACGGGCTCCCCTGCTTGTGAGCCCTTTTGACTCAGCCCCGCGAACTGACCACACACACACCCCTTTTCTGGCTTAACATTCCTTTTTCTACAAGGTGTATTAGCCGCCTCCACCTCCGCCCTTCTTTGGGTTCTTTCCCGTTTTATTCCTAAATAGCTGTGAAAGTTGCTAATCCCTTCCCACAGAGACCCGTGTTAAACACCTAGCTGCCCTGTTAAAACAATCACTGCCTTTCTCCTTCCACGTTTCCACTGTCCTAACAGCGAGCTTCCCGTTGCCTCCATCACCCACAGTTTGGGCACCACTCGGTTCTTAGATGGCTCAAGGTAACATTTCGGCCATTAGTAAAACAACCCTTTGACTTTTCTTATTTGTAGGAAAAGCTTCTAGGTTCATGCTTATGACATTCTTAAGGCATATTTTAAGATGATGATCAAGAAAATATTTAAATATCAAATATTTTGAAAAATAATATTCAGTGAGTTTTAAAAAGAAAAATTTAGAAGTGTACTGATGTCTGTAAACTAATTTGGAAATGTGTGCATCAAAAATAAGATGCAGTGACATTGGTGGACTGATAAAATGGACAGAAAGATAGATAGATATGTGAAAAGCATGTTGATAGTGCAATATTAATAGTAGAATGTAAGTGCTAAGTGTAGAGGTATTCACTGTAAAGTTCCTTCAATTTTTTTGTGTGTGTTTGAAATTTTTGATAAGAGAATATTGGATAAAAAGAACCCCCTACTTAAGGTAACCTGTACAGTGTAAATTGTTTCTAAAACTTATAAACTGGGCATTGATTATTCTTTCCCCCTTTACAAAGTGATTTTCTATAAGAATTTTTTACCTAGGTACTCCCACTACTATTTTAAACAATGATTTCAGTTAAGGACAACTTGATCAAACTAAGGTGTGCAGCGCGGGGTTATTATAACTGTGATATTTTAGAAATTTGTAAGATTTCTTCCTGTGTTTCTTTTTGTCCATTTCACACACACATATACCAACTACTCTCAAATTTTCATCTTTCCTGCTTTTGAAACAGTTGGTATTATAAAGCTAAGATTGAATTTTTAAGCAGATATGGATATTCTTTTGAAACTTTTTCACAAAATAGCCTGTGAGGAGTCCATTCGTCCTTTTATTTACAGTATCATCTTTTCTTACCCCTTGGGAGAGATGTTAGGGGAACTTGCAGTTATTAATAGGCAAAGCTTATTTGTTTTTTGATATCTGAGTCTTTACACATTTGCCCAAACATTTGAATGATAAGTTTCCCTCAGGTAAACCGCTTTTGTATTTTCTTCTGCTGACTATAAGACAAAAGGTGGTCCTGTGACACCCTGAAAGGTGAACAACTTTGGGATAAGATCCGAGTGTCCCTCATCTGAAGAGGAGGTGACACTGACTTTGCTTGGGATCACCCCACAAGTGATGCCTCAGAGAAATGTCTTCAAAGAAGATGGGTTTTAGATTGTTAGGAATACTCTTCATTCCAGTGCCCATTCATAGAGAGCCCTGTCAACTCAGAAACATGTGTGCCTAGCAATGTCAATAATTAGTTGTTTTCTGAGGCATCTCTTACCAAAGTTTGTTGCTTTAATCTTTTTAGATAAGTGTATTTTTTCCTGGCAGAAGGATAGAATTTTTTTCAAGAAAAATAAGAGTTAAAAAAGGAAAATTATCACACGAAAAAGGACATTAACTTCATCTCATGTAGCTGCCAGATAGCTTAAAGCTTGAAGCAGCATCAGACATCCCCTTTTGACAATTGTTCACCCTCTTCACAGTCGCTGAACCTTGGGACGCCTCCCTCCCCCATCCCATTAATGTCAAACTCCCTTAGGTTTGCCACCAAAGTGCACGACTCAGCGTTTGCAATTTACATGTGTGACATCACATCCTCTATTATGTAACTTCAGATACAAAGCCTAATATCATCTAAGTTTATGTTGGAAAAATTCCTCCCTAGCTCTTTATTTCAGCTTTAGCAGAGCCACCCCTTAGTTCTCTGCTCTGAATCCATTCGTTCGACAGCTGACACTGAGGGGTGGGGGGAAAGCCATGGAGTCATGGAGTTAATGGTAAAATTATAAGCCAAAAAAAAATTGAACATAGATATTTTGAAATACATTATGTACCTCTCCATTATCTATTTACTGACAAGAAAGTAAAGACCAATAGGTATCATATAATTTAATCATATTCAATAATTTTTAAAAGTTAAGGGCTAAGCATTTGGTCCTAGTTAACTTCATTAATAAGCCGAGCCATGCTGGCATTTTTTTTTTCTTTCTTTCTAAAAAGCTGGGATTTTTTTTTTTTTTTTTTCAGTCTCTTACCAGCTGTTGGAAAGAGTTGAGAAAGAAAGGGAGAGTCAGAAAGAGAAAGGAGGGGGGTGTTAGAAAGAGTAGAGGAATAATATAAGATAAAACTTCTTTGTTTATTGCAAAACACACATGTTACAGTTTATAAACACTGCAAGCAAATAAGAAATTGTGGACCAGAAGATAAATACAAAACATATCAGCGTTTTTGTTAATATCCAAAATAGTCCAAACTCAATTTCCTAGACTACTTGGAATATTTTTATTAGCTTTGGTTATTCGTTAATTTCTGTATTTGTTTACCTTACTATTTATTCATCTGTCTACCTTAATTCCATTTGTAGTCATTTTAAATAGAAAATATGCAAACTTAATACATTTTTATGGCCAGATTTTGAGATGACAGAGCACCAAACAGCACATGCATCACAATTAGTATGCCATATTATTAGAAGCAAATCAGATTTCACTGTGCCTACACTGATGTTCTAAATTTAGAAATAATGTACAGTAGTTGAAAAAGGGGAGGAACTTAGAGCAGTATATTTTAATAACAATAAAGATATTTTCAATTCCTCTTTTTTCATATATTCTTGGTTTAGTACAAGAAATTCATCATCTTTAAATAACTGTGCTAATCTTACATAAATAATTGCATGATTTGTGTGCTTATTAAAATTATGCATTGAAGCTGTTTCTGCAATATTATGTACAGTAACAAGCACAAAAGAAAGTGAAACAATCCAATGGGTCAGGTGTGGGAAACGTAAGTCTCTGTTGAACTTGATGAAACACTCGTTTAGAATTTCTCATTAGGACTTCACAGGAGCAGTTAGCTTTTCAGTAGTTGGCACTATATTTTTAGCAGCATTTTAACAGCTGTCAGTAACAACTAAGACAACATCTTGATCAACACTATTTTTTAAATTCTAGCAAAGATGATTGCAAAAAAAAATGCTTCAGGATTTAATCTTGAGCCATAAAAAAACTTACTGTGATATAAAATGTTATTAATGCATCAGGGACAGACAATAAGGTATCCTGATAAAATGATGTCACTTGAATTTTTATATTTTATTTTTCTCAACCCGGGCAACATAGCAAGACCCGGTCTCTAAAAACTAGTTTTAAAAAATAGTTGAGTGTGGTGACACACACGTATAGTCCCAGCTACTTGGGCAGCTGAGGCAGGAGGATAGCTTGAGCCGAGGAGGTCAAGGCTGCAGTAAGCCATAATTGCACCACAGTACTCCAGCCTGGGCAACAGAGCAAGACCCTGTCTCAAAAACAAACAAAACAAAAATTAATTTTCTGATGCCTAGGTACACATA